GAGGAGAAGGAGAAGCACCTCTCCTTCATGAAGATCTACAATGCCGGGGAGAAGGTGCTGGTGCACCGGCACGAGGGCCACATTCAGTCCCGGGTGGTGTACTACCTGATGAACATTCACATTACGCCGCGCTCCATCTACCTCACCCGCCACGGCGAGTCGGTGTACAACCTGCTGGGACGCATTGGCGGCGACGCCGAGCTCTCCGAGCGCGGTTGGGAGTACTCGAAGGCGCTGGGCAAGTACATTGCCGAGCAGAATATTCCCCGCCTGCGCGTGTGGACGTCGCAGCTGCGCCGCACGGCTCAGACCTCTGAGCTGATCAAGGCGCCGCAGGAGCGCTGGAAGGCGCTCAATGAAATTGACGCCGGCATCTGCGAGGAGATGACCTACGAGGAGATTCAGAACAAGTACCCGGAGGAGTTTGCCCTCCGCGACCAGGACAAGTTCCACTACCGGTACCCGAAGGGAGAGGTGAGTTTATTTGGGTTTGTGTCTACTTGGCTATATCTAACACCCGCATTCAATAGTCTTATGAGGACCTAGTGGCTCGACTGGAGCCAGTCATCATGGAGCTGGAACGACAGGAGAACGTTCTGGTGGTTGCCCATCAAGCTGTTCTGGTAAGTATTGTCCTTTGAACTTAGAGAATACCAATTTTAATGTGTGTTTTCAATCACCAACAGCGTTGCCTCTTGGCGTACTTTCTCGACAAACCAGCGGGTATGTACCAAGAACAAAAAGAACTTGCATCTTCTTTTTCTTGACCTAGCTTTAGCTTTAGCCTTTATTAGCTCAGACTATTTATTTGACAATACTGAAGTGTATCACTACTTTTTATCATTACTTTTGCACTGTCTCGCATACGAGACGATTTTTTGGCATTTTTGTTTTGAACTCTTTTTGCTCTCCATTACTGAAGCTTTTGTTTTCTTTCCACTTTGTTGAGCATTCGGTTTTAGATGCGCTTGTTAGCAGTAGATGCTAGTCTAACTAACTTTAATCGCCTAACCGTAATATCTCTCTTTCTCTTTCTCTTTCACCTTCTAACCAAACTAACCTAACTGCTGACCACTACCACCATCCTTCTCCTCCTATTCCTCCTCCTAACCACTCAATAACTCTGTGTTGTAACTGTATCCTTCTTTCTACACTTCTGACACCTTCAACCTCTCAACACCCGACTTGACATCTTTTCTAAATGCCAACACTAATAACTGTTTTATTGCGTGCGTGTGTGTGTGATCTCAAACTAACAAACTGACCAAACTTTTGTTCGTCTTTCTCTCTTGTCTGGCAGAGGAAATGCCTTTCATGCTCACTCCTCTGCACACGATCATTAAGGTATTGATAAAAACTGTTGATAATTTAGTATATTCTTGGCTAATATATGATATTATCACAAGTTGACTCCCTATGCGTATGGCTGCCAGATGGAGGAGATTATCGTTCCGGTGGCTGCCGTCAATGACCATAATATCGTTTGAGCAGTGACGAATGTGAGAGTGTGTGAGTCACAGTATGCTAATGTCCAAGTGAGAAAGTCCACCAGTCCTCAGTCATCAGTCCTCACTCCTTTCTTCAGCAACTCGCGCGCGCTCATCTCGTCTCTTCTCTTCTCTCCTTTTATTATTCTTGTTCTCTGTTACACTGTTGTTGTTCTTAACACAAGACCTAACCAAACACCTTTACCTGCTGACACACAGGCAGTTGTTCAATGTTCACTATCACATCTCTCTCTTGTCTCTTCTTGTTTTCACTGGGTACTTTCGTACTGTCGTCCCCCTCACAAACTGTCCCACCACTTTCACCATTACCAGAACCAAACTGTGCATAATACACACACAGGTACACTTGTGTATGTGTGATTCTCTGTAGTCACAAGTCGAATCTCTAAGGGCGTCTCTGAATTATGTCAATTGCATAATCCCCACACCCTGACTTGATGTTGATGTTCTATTTATGTTCTTGTTCTTATTGTACCCTTTAAGCACATGTCTAGTCAAACGCTACTTAATCCTTACCAGTTGATTACTTAAAAACATTTAAACCCAGTTACCAGTACACCGACACTACTAATCAAAATCTGTTATCAAATGCCAAAATATATATTTATTTTCCAAATTAAAATTGAATACAACCTCACAAAAAGCTGTCAGAATTATCTACCAGTCTTTCTTTACTAGTCGTACACACCTGCTCTGACCATTTCTGTACAATTTCACTACTAGACTTTCTTTCTTTCTTTCTTCTCTTCTCTTTAAACCTTTTCTCTGACCACTTCTTTGCTTGCTTTTCTCCCCTCCCTCCCTCCACTCCCACAGAGAAACTGCCCTACCTGAAGGTGCCCCTGCACACCATCATCAAGTGCTCGCCGGTGGCGTACGGCTGCGAGACGGAGGAGATCAAGGTGCCCATTCCGGCGGTGAACACCCACCGGGACAAACCACTGGTAAGCAACCACTCGGCGGCTGATGACCGTTCAAACAACAAGCAGCTCCGCACGAGCAACGCCGCCGCCGCCGCTGTCGCCGCCGCTGCTGCTGCCGCTGCTGCTGGTGATGCTGCTGGTGATGCCTGCTCGGCGCGCCCTACGCCAGCCATCACACTGTCCAATGAGTTTCAGTGCAATGTCCGTCTCNCTGGTAAGCAACCACTCGGCGGCTGATGACCGTTCAAACAACAAGCAGCTCCGCACGAGCAACGCCGCCGCCGCCGCTGTCGCCGCCGCTGCTGCTGCCGCTGCTGCTGGTGATGCCTGCTCGGCGCGCCCTACGCCAGCCATCACACTGTCCAATGAGTTTCAGTGCAATGTCCGTCTCTCAAGCTAACCCACTCAGTTTGCTGCTCACACAGACAGACACACAAAGCGCATACACATCATCACTGTTGCATCCAATTTTAGGGGTTTAGCNCTGCTGGTGATGCCTGCTCGGCGCGCCCTACGCCAGCCATCACACTGTCCAATGAGTTTCAGTGCAATGTCCGTCTCTCAAGCTAACCCACTCAGTTTGCTGCTCACACAGACAGACACACAAAGCACAAACACATCACCACTGTTGCATCCAATTTTAGGGGTCTAGCAGCAGCAGCAGCTATCTACGGTGCAGCAAACCTTTTTTCTGTGTCCATGTCTTTGTTGTTGTTCCTGTCAACCTCTTTCTCTGTTCTCTAACACAATTTGCTGTTGTTGTTGTCACTGCAGATTCTATTTGTTGTGTTTCATTCACGTAGTAGCATCTCTAGTAGCATACAGTATTGTCTCCTGTCAAATATTAACTCTTGCTAACACAACTGTTTATAAAAGCTGCAAAACTACCTAAGTAAGATTCAAAAGAGTTCAATGCTAAACTTTGTCCCTCTATTTCCCTCTTTCTCTCTCTCTCTTTCCTCTTTCTCTGAAGACTTTAACGGGCGGTGTGGGTAAGAAGGTGTCTATCACTGGGACAATTCACGAACAGGCGAACACGAGCTCGCGCGTTCTGGCTCCTGGCAAAAACTTTCACGGTCACGACAATGGCGACGATGAGTACAGCATTCAGTCACTGGCTCCACTCGACTATAACTTTGGTGTTCCTATTGTCATTGAAAGTGCCGCCCCAGCTCGGGGCAGAAGAGGAGGCAGTGCCAGTGGTAGTGACTCGAGCGACTACGATGATCGTTTTGCCTGCGACTGTGCCGACTGTACGCCGCCCTCGAGCAGTGAGGACAGCGCCGAAGAGGAGGAGGAGGAAGACCTGTTGGTGGTGGTGGCCAAGAGAGAAGACGACGAGGGCGAAGAACAGTCGCGCACTTCTTCGGGCCGTAGTTCGGTGTCATCGTCGTTGCTGATTGCCGCCGCCGTGTCCATCACTGCTGGCGGCAGCCCCAAGGAAAGCCTTCAGCTGCCACTGCTCGACAGTGAACTCGACTTTGCTGCTGCTGGGGTGGGCGGTGTTGTGGCCACTGCTGCTGGGGCTGCCTCCATCAATTTCGCCCACCTGCCACGTCGTCGTCGAGGCTCCTCAATCAAGGAGTTGCGCCAGACAAAGGGCGTTGAGTACTTTGACTACTAACCTCCCCCTTTGCATCATTTGCCAGCATGACCACTGCCGAACCGGTGCACCCTTTTTCTCTATTTCGCTTCATCTTTACTGCCTTTTCTGTGTTTGGTACCCCCGCTTTCCACTTCACTGATCAGCTCTGCATCCTCTTCACACTGACTCACTAATTAACTCATTTATAATTTATTTTTATCCTTTTTATTACGACTCGCACACTTACTACACACATGTTTTCACCATCTTTTTCTCGTCATCTGCATTTTGGCCTAAACTACAAGCTATACCTCTCTTTTTAGAGCACACCAAACACCAAAATATAATGCACTTTTTTATAAATAACCACTCCCACCACTCCCACCACTCCCACCACTACTACTTTTGTCTTTAATCTTTTTATTAAATAATTTGCAATTTTTGTTGTTTTTTCTTACTACTCAATGTTGCGTTGCCATTTTTTGTGTGTTTCACTCTTTTGCACTCTGAGCGTACTCTTACTCTTGACAAGTAGTTTTGCACTTGTCAGTTGTGTGTTTTATGTAGGCATCTTTTCACTATATTAGCTTCCTTGTTCATTATGCCATATTAATTAGACGCTCTGAACATTCCTGTGTTTTTGAACCTGTAAACTTAATTGTTTCTTTATCTTTTGCAGAACTGTGACACTGNTTTTTTGTGTGTTTCACTCTTTTGCACTCTGAGCGTACTCTTACTCTTGACAAGTAGTTTTGCACTTGTCAGTTGTGTGTTTTATGTAGGCATCTTTTCACTATATTAGCTTCCTTGTTCATTATGCCATATTAATTAGACGCTCTGAACATTCCTGTGTTTTTGAACCTGTAAACTTAATTGTTTCTTTATCTTTTGCAGAACTGTGACACTGATCGTGGCTCAAATGAAGCCCTTCAAACGGTTCCTGAACATATCTAATGCTGAATGACTGCCGCTGAGCACTTACTCATCTACTTTGCCCTAGAACTATACACCTTTTTCACTATTTTATATACGTTGCAGCTGATATTACTTTACAATGCTCAGCTGCAGTGCTAGGTAAAAAGATGAAGATGTATTTTTAATTTTTAACTTGCATGCACAATATAAAAACTTGCATTTTATAATAAAAGTGAATGAATTTTTCTGTTTTGAAATTAAAAGGTGCGCCGTTGTGGCCATCAGATGGCGTAGCAGCATCGCAAAAATAAAAAACTTTTGAAAAAACACGACATGTGATTTCTAAAAACAACCGTTGCGTCAGTTTTTCCCTCATTTTCTATTTCACGTTTCTCACATTCACATCTCTGCATATCTCATTATCCCTAAAGCTACTCAAGTAGAATTTCCTTGGTTTTTCCATCGAGACTTTGATTCTATCAGAAAGAATGCATCAGTATGATGATTTCGGCGATGATGACTTGATGACAGATGATGAAGATGAATTGCCCTCTGGTCCAACAAAAAGCCATCCTTCTATAGCCCCTCCGTCCTCGGCGCCTCTTCATCTGAATACTGATTCATCATCAAACGGCAGCTTTGTTCCGAGTTATCCTAGCATTTTCTATGATGTCGACTTTCGGGCTACGTTTAATCTCCCGCCATCGGCTCCAAAAAGCTTCAAAAGCAACGAGAAGAAAGCTAACAATTCTAATCCCAGCGCCGGAACGGGAAAAAGTAATGCAAAGAAAAATGAAAACTTCTATGATCTCATTGATCTTATAAGCGAAGATGAAAGCGATGATGATGATAACGAAGTTCGATTTATTAGCGAATCTAAAAATGGAAAAAGCAATTACGAAAACGATGTTCAGTTTATCGGCCAATCTAAAAGTAGTAAAGAAAATGATGCTCAACTCATCAACAAGGTTAAAAGTAAGTTCTAAATGGTGGATATTTATTGCTACAAAAAATTTCATGTTTTTATTTCTTAGATGCTAAGCCTATTGAGACTTCCCGACCAACTGCCACTTCCTCAAAGGAGAATGTTCTGAAAGTAGTGAAAACATCAGCTTCTACCACTCGCAGGTAATAGTTTAAAAAATCCCGATTTCACACTTTTCTAACAATTTGTTTTTAGATTCAACCAGCAGTTCAGCGAGACGCAATATGAAATCAGTTCTATTCTGGAGAAAAAACGCGCACTTCGCGAGAAAAACAGCACCAATAGCGTTGGATCTTCCAAAGATAGTAGTGACTTTACAGTCGATTCTAATTTGAAGTCTTCTACATTTCGATCGGCTACACCAGAACGCCGTGCATTCGGTCGTGCTTTCAGTCCGACATATTACACGCCCTCAAGAGAAGAACGATTCAAAGATGATTATAATGATTCGGTTAGCTATGAAATTGGAAAGTTCCTGAAGCTACTTCTATCCGTCGATATCTGTGCACTTCAAATGGATTATTTTGAAGATTTGATTACTAATCACCTACGAAATCAGTTGAAGCTCCCTCTTCCAGACATGAGCAGTGATCAACTGCCATTGACGTACAATTCCGTGGAAGAGTATAAGAATACGTACATTCCTTTCATTCTCTATGATTGCTGGGCACAGCTGGTTGAAGACTTCTATTCAAATGGGTTCTCCAGACAGCTTCCAGTGTTTCTTCATTCGGTGGACACCGCATCAGACCCTCAAATTTACACACTGTCACTGCGATGCGTAATTCCATCTAACAAAGTCCATTTCGATGAGTACTCGATTGAGAATTGGCTTACTATCGTTCAGCTAGATCTAAACAAGAAAAGCCTTACTGATGAATGCAATTGGGAGCCTAGTGAAAAGCAAAAGAAACTGAAAGCAGTGGGCTTTGTTTACTCCTACAATAAGCTCAATGGCTCTCAACGAAACGTTCAGGTTATGCCTAAGCACCTTCCCGTAGTGAGTAGCCCTGATAACAATGGAGACAGTTTCGTGGCTTACACTGAATGCGAATATCTCGTCAAATTGTACGCAAACGATGCTGCCCGCGAATTGATCAAAAGTCAGAAGGGCTTGACTATTCGACCTATTTACTACATCCGGCCCACTCTTCGCTACATTGAGACAATTTCGCTCATGAAATTCCGAGATGATTTCAAAGAGACCTTCCTCAAACCGGACACCGAAGTTAGCTTGCTTAATTTCAACAAACCTGACGACTTCTACTTTTATGAGGAAGATCATTTCAATGAACACCAAAAGAAGGCAATTCTGGCCTGCTACAATGCGATTAATCTGCCTTACTCTAGTAGCCGAATCGTTCCCATCCAAGGTCCCCCAGGCACCGGCAAGACGCACACTTTGGTGGGAATCGTCAAAAACATGTTCATCAACTGCAAGTTTGGCAGAACGAAGCCGTTGCGCATTCTCATTTGTGCCCCCTCTAATGGAGCTATTGACGAGATTGCATTGCGACTAATTCGAGACCGCGATTTCCTTAAGGAATTTAAAGACGCTAGTCTCTCTATTATTCGCATTGGTCAGCGATCCCAAGTGCATCCAGATGTGAAAAGCTTCCTCCTCGAAAATATGGTCGAAGTTAACTACAAGTTCTGCTCTCGCAGTAGACCAAAAGCTGACCTTCGGGAAGACCTACTAAAAGGTGCTCATGTGATTTTGAGCACCCTAAGCAGTGTTCAGCTATCCTGCATGTCCATCTTCCGCAAAGAGTTTGCCACGACAAAGACTGCGATTCGCTGTGTGATTGTGGATGAAGCGTCGCAGTCAACTGAGCCCGAGCTTCTAATGCCGCTAATTTATCCCGTTTCAAAGCTGATTCTAATTGGTGACCACCTTCAACTTCCAGCGACAGTCATCTCTCGTCATGCACTTCGCAAGGGCTACGGACGATCAATGTTTGAGCGGCTGTTTCTCAATTACGAAGAGATGAGTTCGCGCATTGCCGGCTTCACCAATCCAATGATAACTCTGCGACGTCAGTTCCGAATGAACCATGCCATCTGCAACTTTCCCTCGGCGCACTTCTACCGTAGCTTGCTCGAGACACCACTTGGCACTGGCAAAAACCCCAAAATCCCCATAAGGCCTTACTTTGTCTTTGATGTGGCGAATGCCAATGAGCGAAGCACTACCAACATGGTCAATTCCAGCAAGTTCAATGTTGAAGAGGCGGAATTTATTTTCCGGTTAATCATGGTCATCTTTGCCAAGCTGGGCTACACTGTCACGCCTGATCGGATCATTAATCTTCCCGAAAAGCTGGACATTAGCATTGGCATCATTACGTTCTATCGCGGTCAGAAGCAGGAGCTGATAAAGCGACTGCAAGCGTTTGACAATGGTGTCCTGCTGAACGGTTACATTGACATCAACACGGTGGACGCCTTTCAAGGACAGGAGCGCGATATCGTAATTCTCTCCTGCGTACGAGCCTTTGAGACGAGCAGTGACATCAACTCGGTGGGCTTTGTTCGATCTCAGCAACGCATGAACGTGGCACTGACTCGCGCCAAATCGGCTCTCTACGTGATGATCCACGCCAAGTCCTTCATTAATGTTCCTCGCTGGCAGCAGCTGCTCACCGATGCCCAGGCCCGTAACTGCTTTGTGCGACTCACCTCACAGGTGACCAACGAAATGCTGATGAAGAAGATTTCACCAAAAAATGAACTACCCCCTTATTAATTGTACACAACCCCAATACTCAAACTGTGATTCCATCCATACACTATTTACTAATTTCATCCCGGTAGCAACTGTTTTCCAAACCTCTCCTATGCAGTAGGCCTTGCGTTATCTAATTACTTTGTGGCCATTCAATAAAAATTACATTATAACGTGATTACGTGAATTATACACTGTATTTGAAGTGCCCTTTGAGCAGACGATTTTTTGTTGGTGTTTTGATGATCATGCAATGTTATGCAATGTGACACTGATGATGATGAGCAGCATCATTAGTGGATACTGACCAGCTCACCAGTGATGTTCTCGAGTAAACTACTCTGTGAAACGATTCTAAGACGAGCTTGTGATCACCAATCAAGGCGAGTGATCATTCCCATCACAGCAGCGACAGCAGAGGGATTATCTTCTCATCAGCATTTCGGTAAGTGTTTTTGTGTGTGTTTTGTTTTTGGTACTGGTTTAATTGGTTGCGCTTTACTATGTAGCACATGCACATGCACATGCAGCAAGAAGAGACTTCCACCAGGACTACAGATCAACTGGCACCAGCGAGGCAAATGGCAGGTGGAGTGCTATTGCATTGTCACTTGCTCTGGCCGGCACCTCGTATTGGCTGGCGAAAGAAACCAGGTTCACCGATTTGATTCTGCCTAGAGCATTTGCAATCAGCAAAGAAGATGATGATAATTTGAAGAAGCCACAACGAAAGCGATACTCTGATATGAACTTTATTGCCGATATTGTTGAGAACGTCTCCAAATCAGTGGTCTTCCTTGAGTGCGAAGTCCGCAATCCCTTTTTCGGCAACACAGTAGTGAGCCTCAACTCTGGATCTGGTTTTCTCGTTTGTAAGAAAGACGGCGTTATTCTCACCAATGCCCATGTGATTGCCAACACAAACAGGGTAAGATTACTTTCAATTGTTTTGAAGCTCTCTAACAATGATTTTAACACACTTTAGGTGATCGTCAAATTGAACGACGGCCGTGTGGTGGAAGGAAAGGTGGAGTTTGTCAATGATTCCCTCGACTTGGCCACTGTGCGCATACCTCCTGCTGCAGTTCGCGACCTGGATGAAATTCCACTGGGCAACTCCAAAAAGTCTCGCAGTGGAGAGTTTGTTATTGCCGTTGGCGCTCCACTGACTCTCTCCAACACCGTCACCTTTGGCATCATTTCCTCCATTTCCCGTGCTGGGCGAGAGCTGGGAATGCACGGCGATGTGGAGTACATTCAGACCGATGCCTCCATCAATGTCGGCAACAGCGGTGGTCCTTTGGTCAATTTAGACGGTAAGAAAGCTTTGGGTTGTTGGAATTTTCTGTTTTTAATTAAAAACGTTGTTTCCCACAGGTGAAGCTATCGGCATCAACACTTTAAAAGTCGGCGAGGGCATTTCATTTGCAGTGCCATCTGACTACGCGGCCGTTTTTCTTCAGCGTGCCAATGAACTTCGACACCGGCAGTCCTCTCACTGGTGGGGCGGTAGTGCCGGGAGAACGTCACCTGATCCGTATGGCCAACAGCAAAATGTGCCCGTGCCGACGAGGAGAAAGTTCGTCGGACTGACCATGGTCACACTGACGCCCAGCCTGATTGAGCAGCTCAGAGCACGGGAGTTTAACTTTCCCAATGTGAAGAGTGGCGTCTTCATCCACCGAGTAGTTCTCGGTTCACCTGCGCACATGTAAGTGAGCACTCTCATGAAGATCTTTTTGTTTATATCAAGTCATCTTATCTTAATTCTTTCTAATCAACAGGAGCGGAATTCAGGCTGGCGACATCATCATTGAGATCAATGGAAAGGAGGTCAAACGGCCTGATGACGTGTACCACGCAATGGAACAGTACGACGTGCTCAAGGTGCACATTAAGCGTCAACACGAGGACATTATTTTGAAAGTGCAGCCGCAAATTATTGAGTAGAAGACGTTTTTTGCTAACACAAATGGCTTTATAAGATTCCTTTACAACAAAAAAAGTGCCTTGGCTATCGAACAGGTAGAATGTGAAGGTGAAAGGGAAGAAGAAGAAGTAGAATGGGAATGAGGAATGGATGACTACTAGTTGGCAGTGAGGCGGCGGAGCCGATGGCGCCGCTGCCGATGAAGGCGTACGAGGGCATGTTGAAGTCATCGAGGACGACGATGCGGTTGCCCATGTGCCGGTGGGTGTATGACTGGTAGTAGACGATGTCCGGCGTGGAGGCGTTGGGCGTCCACTGGAGGAGGGCGGCAGTGCCCGGCTCGCACTGGTAGTCCAGCTGGTTGCGGTACTGAATGAAGTTCTGGTAGCGATTCGTGTCCGCACGACGCTTGTCGAAGTACTTTACTGGAGAGCTGCTGTCATTACCGGATTCGGTGGAGGTGGAGGTGGTGGTGTTTCGCGTCCGCCAGGCGCACAATCGGCCTGCCGAGGTGGGGCTAGGTCGGCCGCGTCGGTCCCACTCGATGCCCGCGTAGATGTGGTACTTCTTGCGTTCCGCCTCGCTCTGCTCGGTGAATCCGCCCGCCGGGTCGGTGGTGATGTAGAGTGGGTTGTAGAGGCCGCCGATGGAGGGGTTGTTGCCGCCCTCCACGCGGAACGTGTACGTCCGACCGCGCTTCACGAAGATGAGCGGCGCCAGGAGGCCGTTGATGTACCAGACGAGAGCGGGAGAGGCCTGGCCGCCGGTGGAGGCGTAGTAACCGCGCAGGCCGCCGCTGTCGCCCACCCGGGCGTAGAAGGTGGTCATGGTGCTGTTCTTCAGCCGCAACGGGCCCCAGGGCTTCGTCAGCACTGAGCTGGTCTGCTGGTAGGGGTTGATGGGCGCATTGGGAGAGCTGTTCCCACTGCTGTCTTTAGACGACGAGTCCTTCCGCTCCGGATTGGGCGTCGAAAATTGAAAGCAGTTCTTCTCCGCCTTTCGCCCAAACACCAGCGCCTTGTCGTGCTTTGGGTAGAGGTGGTGAAATCCGGGCTCCTTCAAACTGTTCAGCTTGCCAATCGCCCAGACGACGAAGATCTTCTTCGACTTTTCGATCACCAGGTCGCCCTCATCGCCGGTGTTTTGCAGGTTTCGGCGGAAGGTGATGCGAGAGAGGGAGTCTTCGCGCGAGAAGAAGCTCAGCTGGTAGTTGTCCACGCCGCCGACTTTCGTGTCCGGACACACGCCCCGGTAGTTGCCGAGAATGTTGGTGCACTGACAGCGGCAAAAATAAAGCATTAATAACAGTTGAAAAAGACAGCAAACAAAGGGCTCACCGGAAAGGGCCCGCTAATGTTGTAGTCCTTAGTGTAGCCGAGGTGACTGTCGAGGTAGTTGACGGAAACATCGGCGTTCATCATTCGACTGGAGTTGTCCGAGCCACTGAGTCCAAAAGCCATGTAATCGTCGTGTTCAATCTGTCCAATCAGTTCGAAGGTGATCTGCGGCCCAAAGACTTCCCAGTGTATCTGGAGCTTCTGGTGAAGCTGTTCACAGTTTGGCAGGCGAGAATCCGTTTTCTAAAATGACAATCAGATGTTCTTTAGCTTGCCCATTATAAAAACAAATCAGCTAACTTACAATAACTTGCGTTAGAGAGGGCGGAATGTTCAGCTCCTGAGGAATGATCACCGAGCCCAAATTTTCACCCGCCTCGTCGTCCCACACTGAGATGTAGTTGATGTCGAAGACGGTCAAATTGCCCGGCATCTCCAGTATCACTAGATCATTATTGTACGGGCCCAGAGGCTCAAGGTAGCCCAGCTCGTTGGGAATCTTCTGTCCGGCCGAGGTGGGCTGCGGTCCGATGCCCACCCAGAAGTAGGCTTCCTTGCGCCGGCCATCGTAGGTGAACTCGGGAATGCGGATCGTTTTGGCGTCCAGTATCACCACGGGCTCTGATTTGATGTCATTGGAGAGGTTGGAGAACTCGGCAATGGTCTGCGGCGCCGGCGGGAGGAAGCCCTCGGGAATGTACAGGTCGGCAAAGTTCTTCTGACTGCGAATGTCCCAGACGGAGATCCACTTGATGGACTGGATGCGCTTGTCCTCCGGCAGGCGAATGCGAACGTCCACGTTGACGTACTGGCGGAGCTTGTTCGTTTTGCCGTGCTCGTCGGGAACGATGAAGCCCACATTGCTGGGCAGAACGGTGGCACCTACCCAGAAGTAGGCATCTGAGGTTTTTGGAAAATGGTAAATTAGAAATGAGAGTACTCAAATGTTGCCGCTGTATACGGACCAGTGGCCAGTCCGTCGTAGAAAAAGTCCTTAATGAGAAAGGTGTA